AAAAAAGATACCTGCACACCCCCATGTTTATTGCTGCTTTATTCACAATTGGAAAGACATGGACATAGTCCAAATGCCCAAAAAGGGATAACTGGATTAAAAAGATATGGTACATATACACAATGAAATATTACTCAGCAACCAAAAAAAAACAAAAACAAAAAACATGTCTTTTGCAGCAACATGGATGGAGCTGGAAAAGATCATGCTTAGTTAAAATAAGCAAAAAGAAAAGGAAAAATGACAGATGATTTCTCTCATAGCAGGAATATAACGGGAAATGATAATGATGAACAGCTATATACCAGATACAGTTTGTGGGGGTGGAATGGGGAATGGGATCAAAAACAGTGAGGGGAGTAAAATGCACTGGACTATTGTGATGGCACATGGGTAATTTGGTGATGGGAAACCCAAGTGGATTGCAACTGAGATGGGAAAATGCACAAAAATATGTAAAAATAAACTATTATAAAATTTTTTTTTAAAAAGTGAGAATTTAATCACATCAGGTACAGGCAGTTTCCACAAAGTAAGATAAGCTCAAAAAATTTTGAAAGCCATTTAAATACATTATACAAGTTACTAAGAAAAAAGTAATATTCTTTCTGTTTTAAAGACTGGATACTTTCCTTGGGCAGCTGAGCACACACAGTTTTACCATAAATCCAATGTTCTCACTATGCTTTGAACAGATGTAAAGATTGTACTTAAAACACTAGATATGAGAAATAGGATGCAGCCTGTATAGTACAGACAGATGACATAGTATTCTGAGTTTGGCTTTTTACTAACCTGTATATATGAGCTTGGCCTATTCAGTTATTTAATACTTTCATGGTCTCAATTATCAAATATGGTTAGTATTGGAAAGATGAAGATGTACTCTAAAAATCAATATCTACTTAGTGAAAATAGATGGAATAGGAGGTTGGTAGGCCCCGCAGCCCCCAGTGAATCTTAAGTTTTCTCTTTGGGCTCTCTCTGGCATCCTTCTTGGTCGCTTCCTCCCTGTAACCACTCTCTGTCCCACACTGTCCTGTGTGTGACGCTGCCCTGAAAGCTCTCGGTCCAGGTGTGCCCACTTAGAAACAACACAATACTACAGGTGTCCACAATCAGGTATTCATACCCTGAGCCCATGTTCCCAAGCACCTCCTCCATTGAAGGTCACAGGTGATAGTTACCAAGACCAACAGCACAAAAGCCTATTACCCAACTAAGAATATTCCATCTTACTGTAACTACAAATTTTGCTGCACATAACTTTCTAACACAAAACGTCTATTGTAATGGATATCTGATTGGAAATCCCTTAATTTCCTTGAGAAGCTATGCCCCATATCCAGAAGCCTATGTAACTGATTTAAACAAGACTGAGATACTGCAAATATTCATCCTACCCAGATCCAAACAATATGCAAAATCTTTGGTATACTAAAAGCCTTTGAAGTTTCAACAAAAACTACATAAGAGTCTGCAATTTACACACAGGGAATTTTATTTTAAAATATCCATTCCAGTCTCCACATCATCATAAAATAAGTTCAAATTTCTGTGAAAGGTGCCATTTACATATTAAATTTTATTAACTTCTCTGAATTTATCATTAAAACCGTTAATACTCTGGTCTGGTTTAGCCTAAGTGTGGCTCACAGCTGGGAACTATAATGCCTTGATGAAAGTTTGTCTCACTTTCCACTGCTCAGAACAGGCACTAAGTCCTTAATATTGAGTGACATTATCACAGGTCAGGTTTTGCTTGCCACAACCTGCTGGTAGAAGGAAATATATCCACTTGTCTGGACTAGTATTAAGAAAACATTGCAGGGGTGAGGGTGAAGGTGAGGGTGGGGGAGGGGAGGATCATTTTATGAGAAGAAATAATAGACTTGTATATTAACAGTAAATGTCATTTTCAAAATGGCATCTTAAAATATGTTCAAGTAAAACACTGTAATAAGAAAACCCCACAAACTTAATGTAAAGTCTATCTTTATTATTAAGAAGATTTTTAACAAGTCTGTCAACCTTAAATATACATAGGTAAATTATTCATATCTACCATTATATGAAGTTTACAGCTTCAGCCCCCTCACAAAAATAAAGGTAAAAAATAAATCTTTTCCACAAATATTTATCCACTATATTATTCAACTTAGTTCTGAAATTTTCACTTTATAAATATCTTAACACAGCTGCTAGTGGTAGTGCTATTGTTATGCAGCTGCATGTGGCTATAATTTTACAAGTCTGCTTTATTTTTGCTCACTCCCTGGTTCGGCTCCAAGGTCCAAAGCTCATAAAGGAGAAATAAAGGTTAACTGGGCTGCCAGAAAAGCCCACTGAATGCATCCTGTAGTGCTCTGTGACAAGCAAGAGAAGAAGTATAGCCTCCAGCAAGGTCTTGTGGAGAGGCAGCTCTGACATGGTTTAAATACCTGAAACAAAACAGAAAGTATTACATTGATATAAAAAGCACATATAAAATTGGTAACATTTTAAAAGGCAATAGTAAACTGATTCAAATTTTAAAGAGGAATCCTGATTGAAATGTCCAGACTTTATAAATGGATTATTACCTCTTAAAAGGAAACATGGCAACTGTATGTAGAATGCTTAAACTAGTATTAAATTATAAAACAAATTACATTTAGTTCTAAAAGCAGCTCTGAATGAGGCTTCAAAAATAATACTTGCTATTAAAACAGTCATTGTTCCCAATTTTCAGAACTCATTTGTTTTGTTAACCATTTTTTGGCTACTTAACTGTCAGATATAGTCTTAATGAATGGATAGACAGTGTCAATACTATTGTAGTATTAATAGTTTTACATAACTATATTTTGAAACAAATATCTAAACAAATGGAATAGGGAAAAGAACATTCCTTCAATATTATAAAAATACACTGTCTCCTTTCTTGAAGGAAAAAGAAACCATAGAGAATTAAACTTCAAGAAAAATCTCTGAGACTGAAACTTAATTCAAAAGAATGCCCCAAGTGCTAAGTACAGAAGAGCCTTTTGAATCAATTTCAAAACAGTGTAGCAGACACTATTTTTCTTCAATACACATATTACTTAGCAAGTAAAATGTTCTACCTAGACCAAAAAAAAAAAAAAAAGGCCTGAAAAACAAGACAGTTCAAGCCAGAGAGGGCAGCTTGTTAGCATGACTACCAGTATTGCTGAAAAGCAAATATTTCCAGCTTTACTTTAATGCCTACTTTAAGAAACCACATTGTTTCTTCAGGCCTCAGGAAGTAAAGGAGCTTCACCCGCCTTAGAATTACGGGTATAGCAAATGAATAAATCAGGTACCAGAACATTTTAATAACTTGGAAACTTTTCTACTCATTCATTCAAACTTCCTGTGTGTCAAAGTCTTGATGCATGAGCAACTTATTATTTCTAACATAATAACAAGTCTGTTTTTCATTTGTATCCATGTTTAATAAGCTTGTGTGATTAAAAAATGTATGGCAATATATGAGGCCAAATAGAAAAAGTGGTCAAAGTAAGATACAGCGTAAAGTCCTGGAATAGACTATAATTTATTCACATTGCCACAAATCAAGGTGTTAACTCAATTCTTTGCTTCTCTGCCAAGGGTGAAAGGGGAATGTGGGGAAGGAGAAAGGAAATTAGTATTTACTGAGCAATGATCTCCAAACATTTTTGATAGTATATTTATAGAAGTGAAAAATATTTGAGCATACAACTCCAAAATGTATATACTTGTTTATAAATTATATGCACATAGTATTAATATGCAATACACTATTATATTATATACAATTATATATATAGCAAAATGTGAGCATGTTATTTTATACATGTATATATATCTGTATGCTTAAGGTACGCAATTTAAAATATTTAAATAAAAGTTCTAATATACTGTCTCCCTATATCCCAACTTACATACACTATGGAGATACATTTCACTTTGGACATCCCTGTTATTAAATAGTCAATGTCAAACTCTTGATAATAACCTTTGATCCCTGAGAATCTGAAAGTAGGGGTTTACTAAACCTACTACGTGGCCATAAATGCATCTGCTTATTACCTCTAAGGACACAATAAAATATCAATTATGTTAAGATGTGATGTAGTACGAGAAATGAGGTGTTAAATCACCTCAGACTATCAAAAAATCAACTAGGAACATTAAGTCAATTTCTCTTCACTGGGAGCTCAATAACTATCACAAAAATGATAAGAAAAAAAATGTTTTAAGAAGCATTTTTTTAAAGATTTATTTATTTATGCATACAGAATTGGGGTACAAGCCAGAGGTGCAGGGACAGGGAGAGGACTAACCAGAGACAGAGTGGAGTGCAGAACAGGTAGATTGACGAAGTACACTGCTGAAGGGAGCAGCAGACAGGTCAGAAGAGGTCTGCTGCACCATGTGGGTGAGCTCCAGCGCAGGGATGGAACTCACACAGAAGTGGCTATGTCTAGCTTGCAGTGCTGCATCCTAACCCATTGTGCCACCAGGGAGGGCTGATAAGTAATATTTTTAAAGGTATCTTAGAAATAAAATGTTCCATTCCTGACACAAGTGTCCAGATAATTTTTATCCATATCCTAGTTTATGTATAATTTTTTCCCCTTTCATCAGACCCTAAAAAGAAAACCATAGGCCCTCCCTGGTGGTGCAGCGGGTTAAAGCACAGCACTGAGAATCTAAAGCCACTTCCGCATGAGTTCGATTCCCGCCTGCCCCGGAGGTAACCACATGGCATGGCAGACCTCTCCTGACCCCCCCCCCACTGCTCCCCTCAGCAGTGTACTTCGTCGATCTGCCTGTTCTGCTCCCCACTCTGTCTCTGGTGAAGCCTCTCGCCGCCCCTGAGCCTCTGGCCTGTACCCCAGTTCTGTATGCACAAATAAATAAATCTTTTTAAAAAAAAAAAAACATAGGTTTAGGTCCAATGGCTGCTCACTCATGCCAGAATTTAAGCACCACAGTAACTCTGTCAACCTTAAGAAGAAAAGGCCAGCTATCATAAAGGAGAATTGGTCTTCATTACCATAATACAAAAAACTGCAACTAGCTGTTTTGATTCATCACATTTTGGTACAACTTGCTTCTGGGAAAATTGAGTCATGCCATCTCTAGCTTGGCAATTCAAGCATAAACTTGCAGTGTACATACAGTTTTTTATATGTTATCCTGAGAAACATGAAACAGCTGCACTGCTGGCAAGAAAACACAAGACCACCAGTAAAATACCCAACACAGTTGCATCTTTTAATTTATGGCTGCACTGTTTCCACAGAGTATATAAAACAGTTCAATTTTTATAGGTAAAATGTAATAAATAGTCATGCTTACTGCTGCCAAAAATGTGTAAAAAAAGTTTATTTAAAAGTGATTAATTAATGTTTGAAAATAGTATTTCTTAAATAGTCATAATCTAGGGCAATGAGCAAATATTTTAAAATTTGATTTATTAATACTAAGTTATAGATTCTCACTGCCAAAATGAAGTCAATTAAAATTTCTTTGCACAGCACTGAAGAACATGCATTTCCCTTCTAGCAATCATTTTCCCTAAACATGTGAGTGAGAATGATTCTTTAAAGAGACCTGCTAGTTTACACTGCTGTTTTTGATATCTAGGACTGTACAAAACAGTTACTGTTAAATATTGTAACTGATTCCCACTATGGCAACCTGCATTAATTCCAATTAAAAAATAAAATAAAACATTTCATTCTTATTATTCTACTATGAGCTTTTTATTTTTTAGGTATTTTAATGTTCTTAAATCCTTCAATTATTATTGTACACCAAAGTATTTTAAAGGATCTGCCACATTAAAACCACACAATGGGAATTTCATGTTCTGTCTATTTTTTCTTATCAATCTACATCTGTGTTGTCTTAATTCTATTATAACCATTACAAGTTCATCTCTGAATAGGGTCCCTGGGGTTTTGGCACATAAGTTGGCATCATTTCAGGTTTACCTTTATAAACAGAATGAGGAAGGAATCTTAGCCAAATTTATTTCCAAACGTCAAGCTCAGTTGGATTTTGTAGCCTGACAGTAACTGCTCTTTTTAGCCAATCGTAAGACAGTATTTCTGTTTTTTATGGGTTGATTTTAAATACCTGTAAATCTTTACACAAAAACCAGGGAAGAAAAAAAGGTTTATTTTGATACCTATACCGCATTTTTAGTGAAAGCATGCTAAACTCAAAGATTTAAAAATCAGACTTTTGATTACTTTCTATTTTTAAAAAGCATGTTTCAAAAGTTGTCTGAGATTAATTCCTAAACAAAGAGCATCTTATGCCTTAATTTATACTCTCTCTAAAGTTGCTGTTCTTTTTCATTATCCATCAAAATCCCTTTCAAACAGACTTTGGAAAGGAGGAGGAAAAGGATCCTGAGAAGAAAGTTAGAGAGGATTAAGTAGTAGGAAACTATACTTGAAAATTTATTCCCGGACTCTGCTTTCCTACACTATCATTTCCTTCTGTTACATTTAGCAGCATTTGTTCTCAAAGAAGGTTACACTGAGCTTTCATTTCATTTTCTCAGTTCTTTAACATAAGGTTACTCTTCTACTATCTCCCTAACTTTAAAAGTCCTATATTGACCATCTGGCTAAAGTCTTTGACTCAGCTCATTTTAGTGCTATTCAACAATGCTTTGAGTTCTCAGCTAGGGGCAGAGGGCAAGGGCTGTCACTCAAAACTGTTAGACAGCACTTTTCCCCTCCAGTCACAACCTGCTCATGATAACCCTTAAAACCTTTGACTCCAAAAAAACAAAGGCTTTCAGAATTTAGATTGAAATAAAAATGTGAAGCTTTTATTAGTTTCCTCCACCTCAAATTACCAAAGACTGTGGAAAGTAAAACAACTTCCATAGAGCTAAAATCTGAATTGGTTCAAACTAAAAAGGGAGGGAACTCTAGAGACCAGACTCTGCAAGGTTATTTTTTAAGTTTGCATTTAATATGCCCATGCATTAAAACAGACTAGTTTCATATAGTTCTGCCTCCAAATCTACAAAAGTCAAATCTAAGTGCCATTAAGAGAGAATTCAGCTGTCAAGACAAACAGCTCTTATATGAAATTTCTGTATTCACATCAAGTACCTGAAGTCTATCTCAAAGAGATTTAAAAACAATCAGAGCAATAGCCTGGTCTCCATTATCACTAAAAAAGAAAAATCTGAAGACTGCCATTAGTGGTCAGGCATCCTAACCTAGTCACAACGTCAGAATAATAGGTAAACGTCTACAAAGGGGAATGGATGGCCATATATAGGGGAAAGATTAGAAATCAGACTAATGTCCAAAATTCTGAGGGAAGTTTTGTTATAAAAATCACAAGTTCATGAACTCCAACCAACAATAGGTCAAACATCCACAATCATGTTGCTCTTTATTACCTAGTCAGCAAGTGAGAA